TTATATAAAAGTTTTCTGATATGTAACGGTTTAAAATGTAAATGGTTCATGCTTTTCACGTCCAGGTTAGCTTCACAGACCTTCAACTACTCAATTTTTGGCTTTTTTTTAAAATTCAAGGAGTCAGAAATCGTAGCATGCTTTTATGTCATCCTGTCTTTCTACTTCAAAGGAACAAAATGCGTTTGGGTATGACATGTCAACAGGCTTTTAAAATATATATTGGTTGGTTTATCATATTATTTATTATTGAAGAATCACTATTTGAACTGTTTCATGCACCTACAAATATAGATTTTTTTTATTTATGTAAGTCACATGTTTAATACCGTGGAAAAAAAGACAACGTGGGGGGAGAATTTCACCCTCTTTGTTCCATATCATCGTGACCCAGAAACGACTACAAAAACGGTTTGAAAACATAAAGATTTTGTGTAAAAGTGGGTCAAACTCCAAGGTCAAGGTCAAAAGGTCAAATTTGGTGGTACCCAAAGAAAGGTCTTGTCACAAGGAATATACATGTGAAATATGAAAGTCATAGGTCCACCTTGAAAGTTATCAACACAGTTATTGAAATCTAAAGAGAAATATATTTTAAATTTCACCATAAATGGTTCCTTTTCATAAAAACTCAATTCTTTTTGGCATGTGTTTAGACTAAAATATTGTAGTTTATTTATTATTGAACTGTTTCATGCAACAAATATAGATTTTTTTTACATGTTTAATACGTTATCTGGTTATGCAACACACATTGAAATCTAAAAAGAAATATAACATTTCACCCCATAAAAACTCAATTCTCATGAGACTAAGTAGTTTATTTGAGCAACAGATACATGACGTTATCTGATAATGCAAAACGCCGGGAGAGATGGGGAAGGGGGGTTGGTTGGTTGCAGCAGGGCATTGAAAGTTCATTAGACCTAGCCTCCAACACTTTTGTATCCTTAAAATTGATCCTTGGGACATGATGATCTCATTTTTTTTGTTGCAATTATTTGTTAGGCTATATTTACCAGGAAAATTTATCCATTTAAAAGTGCATATGCTAAATAACACAGGTACTAGACTTCATGAATGCCAAAGATATGCTGTACAGTATATGGGCACAATAAACTACATTTTTGAAAAGGTCAAAGGTCAAGTTCAAAGGTCACAAGGTTAGTTATCAAGGTGTTTTACAAAATGAAATTTCTAAGCATTATGTGTGCAAAATATGAAATCTACATCTTGTAGTTTTCGAGATAAAATGTATTGATCGACGGAGTGACTCACAATAAATAGGTATAATTTAAGTGATCCCTAAGTGTCACTCTGCTCTTAAGGCAACACCTAAGTAAAATGAACACATTATTTGCTTTCACATATCGCTGCCTGGCATAGATGTTACAAAGATATTATGTCCTTTCTCTTTGAAACTTTGTGGATACATATTAGATTTACGCTAAAATTGATGATCTTTTAAAGTATTAATCATTATCATAGGATAAGTTTATAGAATATTTTATTGCTAAAACTTGATTGATTGTATGTTCTTTAACGTCCCTCGCAAGAATTTTTCACTCGCTTGTCCGTGGAGAGCTTCATATTTTTGCCCTATGCACTTGATACTTGGCACTTATGGCCATTGAGCAGTAAGGGATCTTTTACATGCCAGCACCTACTATGACATGAGACCTCAGTTTATACAGTCTCATCCAAAGTACCGGTCTCCAAGTCTAACAGTGGGATTGGAACCCACGACGTAAGGATCGACTCTTTACTCTAGAGCATACGATCTAACCACTGCGCCACACTGGGGACATTACAATTTTAAAAATACAGTTAACATCAAAATGGCAGTAAATACTATTAAAAAAGCATGAAAGAGGTTAAATAAAGAAAATAGGTGCCAAAAAGTTTCTTCACTGTACCGGTATTAACATCTGTAATATTCTTGTTAAGTGCTGATAGACAAAACCTAATGTTGTTTACTAGTATCTTAATTTCTAAAAAAATTTATATGTAATCAAATTAAAATTTAAGGAAAAAATATAAATAGATAAGGGGCTGGTACAAGTCTATCAAATATTATTGCTAGAATTAAAGAATTTACAGCAGAAATGACTTTAGCTTTGGATCAACCTAATATGTAAAACTGAAAAGATGCTTTTCAAATCCAGGTTCAACTGTTTTCTTGCTATATCTACAATCAGTAGAGATACAGCCTGATCAGAGACTTGTGATTTATTTACAGGTGCTTGTTGTCAATCAGTAGAGCTACAGCCTGATCAGAGATCTGTGGTTTATTTACATCTACAATCAGTAGAGCTACAGCCTGATCAGAGACCTGTGATATATTTACAGGTGCTTGTTGTCTATCAGTAGAGCTACAGTCTGACCAGACACCTGTGATATATTTACAGGTGCTTGTTGTCAATCAGTAGAGCTAAAGCCTGATCAGAGATCTGTGGTTTATTTACATCTACAATCAGTAGAGCTACAGCCTGATCAGAGACCTGTGATATATTTACAGGTGCTTATTGTCTATCAGTAGAGCTACAGTCTGACCAGACACCTGTGATATATTTACAGGTGCTTGTTGTCAATCAGTAGAGCTAAAGCCTGATCAGAGACCTGTGATATATTTACAGGTGCTTATTGTCTATCAGTAGAGCTACAGTCTGATCAGAGACCTGTGATATATTTACAGGTGCTTGTTGTCTATCAGTAGAGCTACAGTCTGATCAGAGACCTGTGATATATTTACAGGTGCTTGTTTATCAGTAGAGCTAAAGCCTGATCAGAGACCTGTGATTTATTTACAGGTGCTTGTCTATCAGTAAGCTACAGCCTGATCAGAGACTTGTGATTTATTTACAGGTGACACGATGGAGAGCTACCTACAACAGGTGGTTCAGTGTGCCATCAGTAAGGCTCTCCTAGACAAGGTGACATTTGTGGAGGACATTCAGTTCATGGCCGACATAGACATCACGGTGGATAAGACTGACTCGGCCTGTTTTGTCGTATCAGAGAGAATCCTGAAGGAGAACACTCACATCTATCAGAGGCAGTTCAGTTTGCTGTTTGGAGGGGAAAATGAAGCAGTTAATATAGAAAACAGGCAAATTCCAACCACAGAGGAGCAGCTGTCACTCTCAGATGGCACCATTCCTTCAGAACAAGGGAAGTGTTCTGAAATGGATGATACAGTTCCATCAGACCAAGGCATTACTCAAAGGGAGGGCTTGGAAATGGAGAAAGAAAGAAGTGCTGATGAACTTCTAGAGTCAGTCTTAACAGAACCTCAAAGTATTGAAGGTATTGTACCAGCATTAACGCAGACTGCTTAAACAACTTTTATTTTCAAGCAACATATCTACAATTCAGCTGGTCTGATCATATTGAAGAAACACATATGTTGGCATGATCACGTGTTAATTTCTCTTACATATACTTAAAAATTGATGTATCAGTAGTGAAGAAAAAGAGAGTAATTCTAGTAATGCTATGTTCCTGTACAGTTGCTATGTTTATTTTACTGTTGCTATATATTTTTACAGTTGAGAGACAGGACAAACATGGAGTGATTGTAACAGACACTGAGACTCAGACAGAAAATGTCACGTCATTTCAGCGAAAACCACGAAAATCAGCCAACCAGCAAAAGAAATCCAAAGCATTAACAGGTATAAAGTGTAGAATCTGGATTCATGTTTACTGTAAAGGGGGTAATTTTCTCCTTTTCATCTGAACCTTCACATTAGCTCAGTTAGTAAAGGCCTCACTCACTGATTTGAAGGTTTTGGATTCTAACCCTGGCTGTAAATATCTGATTTAGATAAAAATTATAAGTAGCAATTGACACTGAGTCTGAGACAGAAATTGTCTCATTGTTTCAGCAAAAACCAAGAAAATCAGTTAACCAATAAAAAAAAAACAAAACATGAACCAATGAATCTTACTGAATTCTGAGTTACTTCTCCTTTTCATTTGTGCAAATAATTTTGTCCAGGGAGAGGGCGATTTAAGTTTTTAGAACTTGTGCCCAATCCCATTGTAAATATTTAGTGCAATAAAATATGTTCAAATCAATTTTGCGCATGTTAAAATTTGCCCAGAGACAGCTGTTCTTCATGGAATATGATTTTTCTGTGAATTTCCGCACTTTAAACCTGCCCACATGTGACAAGGGTGGTGAACAGGCTGAAAATAAAACAGGGCAGACATTTTCCTCTTATTCTAGAAAATGTATCTGTCAAAGGAATTAGTCATAGATGTTTCCTAAATAATATTAGAGGGTGAAAGTTTCACAGAAAGGAATGAATAAATGACTGTTAGTCTGTCTAAGAAATAAAACATATGTAAGATATTGAAGGTGATGCTACCTCCTTAAGATTTAGAGGCGTGAAGATATGTGTCATAATAAAATTGTTAATGTTATGTATTTAATTATAAGATCTTGAGAACATAATTCTACATGTAAATATACCAGTAGAAAGCATAATTTCATCAGTTTCCATCATGACTGATCTTTAATGAAATTTTCCTTAATATGCACATTTATGTATATTAGTAAGCATTGTGTCCTCAGTTTGCTCTTTGTTCTTTTAACAGATTCTCCAAAGGAAACAACACAGGTGAACCAAGAGCCTGAAGTCATGGACATTAAAACTGAGGTCATTTCTGACGACGATCACACGGAGACAGCTGGGTCGGTCACTATAGTGTCGCCACTTCCTCCCAGTGACCTCCAAACCAACACCGCAAATAACGTCACATGTCCACTGTGTTCCACACAGTTCCGCAGTCAGAAGGCTGTAGAAAATCACCTGAGGGTGACGCATGACATCGGCAATATTTACAGGTGTCAGGTGTCATCGTGTCAGGAGTTGTGTCAGTCCAACACAGCACTTCACCAACACATGATGATGTCACATGGTGGGGCTGAAGGGGACCAGGTGCTGCCTGAAAGTCCACCAAAGAAAAAGCGTGGCCGCAAACCTAAAAATCTTAACAAGGAGACGTCTGTTTCATATAAGGAGAAGGAGGACTCTTTAAATGTTGACGAGATTGCTGATACTCCAGTAGAAAAACCAAAAACAAGACCAAAAACTGCCAAAAAGCAAAGGGGGAGAAAGCCAGGGAGGAAAAAAGGAGGATTGAAACTTACTCTGAAAACCTCTGCTGCAGCTGCAGCAGTTAAAGGCATGCAGAAGTGTGTGGAATGTTCAAAGGAGTATTCATCAAAGAGAGCCCTGAACCGACACATCAAAACTGTTCATGATGTGATGAAGTATAACTGTGACATTTGTGAGAAGGTTTTCTCCAGTAAGGAAACAATGTATCACCATCGCCGAGGCATTCACAGTGACAGCAAACCTTACAAATGTCAGCAGTGTGATGCCACTTTTAGTTTCAATCATAGCCTGAGGCTGCACATACTGAAGCACAGTGGAGCTCGACCATTTAAATGTAAAGAGTGCAATAAAACGTATCTCACGTCCAATCATCTTAAAATGCATGTGGAGGGGGTGCATGGCGGGAAGAAGAATTATACGTGTAAAATTTGTGGGAAGTGTTTTTCTTACACAACAAGTCTGAAAGTACACGAGATGACTCATGGAGAATATAGACCCTATCGGTGTAACACTTGTGGACAGGGTTTTGTCAACAGTCACTCGCTGAAATACCACAAGGAGTCCAAACACTCACAGAATACCTGGTTTGAATGTGACTTGTGTGGTAAGAAGTACAAGACAGAGTTTTTGATGAAGACACATCGTCGGCGACACACTGCGGATGGGTCACGCTTCATGTGCGACATTTGTGGGAGACAGTTTATGTATAAAAGTACACTGGAAATCCACGCGGCCGTCCACAGTGATCAGAAATCCTTCCAGTGCAGCACTTGTGGGAAATCCTTTAAAACTTACGCAACTCTGTACTCGCATCAGTATGTACATAAATCAGAAAGTCCATATAATTGTCCCGAGTGCGGAAAGTCCTTCAAAACTAAGGAGCGCTGCAAGGCTCATCAGAAAAGACATTCAGGACTTAAGCCATTTGAGTGTAAAGAATGTGGTCGATGCTTCCCTGACAAGGGGGGATTGTCAAAGCACACCAAGACTGTTCACTGCGAGGTTAAACTGTTTGTCTGTGACATATGTGGGAAATCTTGCTCAAGGGCAGATAATCTGCGTGTTCATATGAAGATTCACAATAAACAGGTGGACGGAAACATTGCTGGGAGAAAGCTCCATCTGACGCCTAAACAAGGCAAACCCGTGACAGTGATGGAGGCGCCAGAAGAACAGCCAGGCCAGGACTATCTCAACATATCACCACACTCCTCCCCACCCCACACCATGACTATCCCCAGGATCTACCCAGATAGGCCCGACGCCCCGCCCTTTATTCCTAATGCCACAGATCCCCTGCCCATTCCCACAGGAGGCCACGGCATTCTTCTCACCACACAGGAATCAGAGCTGGGGGGTATCACAAATTCTTCCATCCATCCGTCTAATCCTCTGTTGACTGTGCCGACCACTACTTCACAACCTCCACCTGGGTCCTCTTACATGTACATGTGGCCCTATATCCACACGCAACACCAACAGGATCAGGCTGGACCTAGTAATCAGTTCTTCTAACATGTACACGTGACCCAATATCAACACACATTTATCATTTCTTCTAATATATACATGTGGCCCTATATCCACACTCAACACTAGTTGGATCAGGCCGGACCAAGTATCTTTTAGGGAAATTTATGAATTCTAGTAAACAACAATACTTATTTCAATCTGCATTTGTGAAAGTGAATTAACATTGATCAGCATTCATTCTTTATATAATTTACAGTACATTACGTACTGTAAAATCTTCATTTTTGATTAGATTTATGTGGTTGATAAGTTTATCATCTAAAAATATTGTAGATTCAAGGTGTTTTAGAGACATGCACAATAATCATTAACTTTTAATTACCTTATATTTCATATGAAGTGGATTTTAGAGTACAGACTTTTTGTTAGAGTCATCAGTTTTAAAGTACTTGAAAATCGGTTTATTAATTAGTATACTCTTTTGACGTTGCCTGTTGGGATATTCTGAAGATTTTACTAATGATGATTAATGAATCAGTGGTAATTTCATGTTAATTTCAGGAAATGTAAACATAAGACTGTAATATCGGAGTTAAGTATTTGAAACATTCACAAATTAGAGAAGGACCAAAAAGTTGAATTATGAAATGATTCCCTATTTAGAGATTCTGTAGATTTACTAATGCATGATGATTGATTTCATATTTTAAAATTAAATCATGAATCATGAATTTATTCCTACCATATCATTATTGCATTAAACAGCTGTACATGTATTCTGAAATATGTACATGTATGTTTTCTCCATGCAGACTTTTTCTATTGCTGTTTTTGCATAATACATGCAACAATTGCAAAATATTTGTTTTTTTCTTTGATGGCATGTAGCTGTTATTGTTGCTTTTCATTTATACTTTTCTGAGAGAATGTTTCACCTGAGAATGGTCTGAAAGGTATTGTTTGTTATTGGCTTCTTCTACAAGCATAGACTTTGTGACTTTATCCACATTTTACTTTGTATGTTGTCTTTTTAGTGAAATATTTTCAAAATATAATACATTTACATGTACCTATTGTAATATGAATATTGTTAAACTCTTTAGTGCTTGATAAATGTTATTTTGAATTATTATACAATGAATAAATCTGAATTTCAAGGATGTCTTCTAAATTCAAAATCTTAAACTAGTCATTCATCCAGAAAAAACGTCTGTAAATGTACAAGTGTTTGGTGTAGATATGTGTTCTAATGACTTGGGAATGGACCTGCTTAATAAGGTTAAGTTGACTATTTTCCTGGAAAGCTTACTTTACACTCTGCACCCAGATTAAGTTGGGGAAGGGGGTTCCTCCAGACATAGATTTTTCTACAGGAAAAGTTCATTGAAAGTCCGATCCCCCCTTGGTTGCCATGGTATTGTCAAGTAAGGGTAATTTAACGATGTTCGATCCTGATATTAAAAGTCTTAAACTTTTTTTGCCAGGTATATTTTTAGTTTCTACATACATAGCTTAATTAAAATTCAAATCAAAAAATGGGGGTCAATACGCTTCTTTTGGCGCTACAGTACATTTAATATGACCTTTTTGCACTGAAATTTGTGTCTTAATTAAGAAATAAATTTTTGACGTTTTCCCTACAATGTTTTTATCCAATTAATGCATGAAACAAAATGAACTCTTAGTTTGTTTATAAAAAGACACTTTAAAATTGTGACTAAAAAAAAAATTCAAATTGCTTCGCATAATCAATTATTTGACCTTTCTGCACTAATAAAATGATTGAAAATATAATAAGCAAGAAAGAATTTTTAAAGTCTTAAACTTTTTCTGATTACAAGCAAATAGGTCAAAGGTATCTTGAATATTTAGAAAAGAACATCAATAGTGGGGGTATATGATGTAAATTTTCAGATATTACTAAAAAAGTGTCATTTTTACGTTTAAATTGACTAAATTTTTTCCCGGGTTTTCAGAATATATTTACTATATTTGTCACACTTTGTTGAAAGAATTCATAAGAAATAATTTAATAGATATTTCAGAACCAGCATAACACATTTCAATGCAAAAAGCAACTTTGTGTGCAACCCGCATGGAAAAATAGGTATCTAAAATTAACAGCACTGTATGTAGTTTAAAAGGGAAAAATTGATCATGTTCTTCTAAACACCTTCCGCCACAAAATATAGTTCCTGGCTTAATCCTTCTTGAATAGAATTTCATCACAGTTTTTTTTTTCATTGAATATAGTTCAGTTTGCATTGTAGAATTCAGATTTAATGTTAGAACTTAAAAATGATGCAGAATTTTATAAATAATGGACATGACCAAAATCCACTCAAAAACTCAGGATCCAACGTCCTTAAGGTAATGCGGTGATTTAGTTAAAGAAAAATGGTACTGCGAGGGTTGTTCGAAATTTCGTGAACGATGTCAATCTTCGTTATACTTTCTGAAAATTATTTAAAACGAGTATATCATAATACGTAAAAAATATTCATTTTGTTGAAGTTTTATTTGAATTTACTGCTCAAACATTGCTACTTAATTTGAATACGATATTACATTTAGTAAAAAGGCTATGACAGTAGTCCACGAACTTTTCGAACAACCCTCGTATTTCTCTTGTTTGATAGTTCTGTCTTTTTCCTAAATAAACTACCAAGGCGATCAAAGGCTCAAGATGTAAGAATTTCTTCCTAACAACAGATTAAAAAAAAAACAGTACACGGTTCACATCCCCACAAACTTAGAAGTGGCCATGTCGTGTCAGTGGGCAATAAATAACACATAGACTGTTGATTTACATGCTACTATTGATTTTAAATATGAAAACTAAAACCAGTTGCGTCTCTTAAAACAAGCGCATAATTTTACATAAACTTGGTGACTTGGAAATAGTTATAAAAGTGAAGAATGTTTCTTAATTGATGTAGTACTTAGTATTTTCATGCATTCCGTAGAAAATTTTTTGTACAGAATGATATTCCATTGCATGTTTTAGGTAAGTTTAATCAATATTATTATAACATAGTTAGATAGACATATGAACTGATGGTTAGATTCGTTTTTGACGTATACTATTCTTTCAGTGTAACGTATGGATCATTGATACCGTTGATGTATGAGCGTTAACTTTCAGTAGTATTTCTTTTCTTTGCTTGTATATACGGGGATTGACGATTGCAACCATGTAGATAATTCTTTTATTTTATTTTTACAGAATCTTTTACATATTTTCCCAGCAATATCGCAACCATTAATCCCGATACACAAATTAACAAATAACGAGAACATTTCATAGGTAAGTTGTAAGTACAAGGAGTAAAATGCTATTAATTGTTGCATTGTTCACGTAACTATAGATTATAGATTTTCTAATAACTTGATATGTCAAGTGGTCAAAACTTGGCGCTGATGCATTAAATGCAACTATCATAGTATTCCAAAGTGACTTCTAAACTCCGGAATAAAAGAAAGTTAGAATCAAAGATATAAAACGTTTTTAAATAATACTTTGTTTGATGAATAACAATGCCCAGCACATTTACCTGGAATTGTTTAATTCAAAACAAACTTGATATATTTTTTTACGAGAGAGTAAAGTTTCATGTCCACAATGTCTCTCGGTAACAGCTGTTCTTAGTTGTGAATTAAATATTGATGTACGAAATGAAGGGGAAATCAAATATACAGTAATAATTTCACTTAATTCCGGTAAGTTTATTATAATTTTTTTTTTTAATATTTGATACTCATTTTAATCTATTATTTTTGACAGATCAAATAATTCCTGTAGTTTTTCAGTAATTTATAATTGGAATTGTCCAAAGTTACTATTACTGCCTTTTGCAGTCTTTGTTTAATACGAGGAGCGTTCATTAAAAAGACAAAAGAGTTATATAAGTAAAGCACACATATACATCAAAGCTATCACGTGTGTCGGAATATAATTCTGACCCAACCTGCCGGTTTCTTAAACTTAAATTAAACTTGAGTTAAACTTAAATTAAACTTAAAATTTGCCTTGACAAAGGAAGAGGATTATTAAAAAAAAACTTCAGTCTTGTATTCCTCCTATGTAAGATGAAGTCTACACTCGCATTCCCTTCAGCATGATCTACATATGAACACTTTCGAAAACGAGGTAATTTATTGACAAACAAGTTGATGAAACAAGAATGTCAACAGTCTCGTTTAAAGTCATCATTTCAATAGTTCTTTGGTTGATATAATGACCATGTCAGCAAATACAATCAATTATTTAGTCAAATACCGACTGACGTTTTTCAAACTAATTGTAAGGCCAATATTTACACACTGAAATGACGGCGGATTTTCCCGTTATTTCCCGATCTTGACAAGGAGTATACCGGTCGAAAGGGGATACACACTCTTCCATGGAATCTGAAGCCATCTTTGGTGTTTTAGAGGTCCACCGTGTTTGCTCTACTTCTGAATTATTTTGTTAAATGGAATTTTGAGCTTTAATAATTTTTTTCAATTTTTCAATTGGCGACAGAACTTCATTTCTATTTTGAATTCAATCAAAGATTAAGGCAGACGTATTACTTTTCTTTGTCTTGGCGAATTGGTAAATAAAGCCGCGACAACTTGTACGGTCACTATTTATTTTTGACGTTTGTGACAAATATTTTCGTCCAAAGACAACTATTTTTATCATCATCAAAATGTTTATAAAAGAACGATTCATGGTAAATTTTTAAAAACTATTCACAATTTTCTACACGAACTATAAACATTTTATTTTTCTAATTTAATGGATGAATGAACAATCTTTTTATGTACGATGAATAAATTGCTTATGTTGTTTTTTGGCATATGGCCTGATACGTGTTTCCACAACCTGCATCATTCCAATAAAATTTTCCACCGTGGGTGCGGACTTGTGCACAATTTTCTCCATTGTCGCCATTAGGTTCCCCATTACCCCAAGCTGTGTATTTTAACTTTTTTCCTGTGGAGGACCATCTCCACGTTCCCTCTTTTAGTGAATCTGTAGCATCGATCCAAGCATCGGGACCTGAAGAAATATACAAAAATACCCTTTAATACAAATATTATTTTTCTTTTTTAATTATTGTGTTAGAAATATTAGAAATAACTACCCCCAAAAGTCTTATAAATCCAATTATTTTCTCTCTCGGATGTTATTCGGGCTAAATGTGCGTTGATTGCTTGACATGCGCTCTAGAAACAAAAAAAGAAAAGAAATGATTTTTTGCGGGTTAAAGTCTTCAATTTAATTAAATAATTAAGAAATGTATGTACATTGTACCATAATCATTGCGAGTTAACTGAGTAATCTCTTTTTTATTCTAGCTCAGCTCGAGTACCTTTTTTTATTTCAAGAAGCATTAGACTTGCCGAATGTTTCTTCTAATTAGAAAATAAAGAATGCAAAAAATATGAAAGCTTACATATGTACTTTTTATAGTTTATGCATATTTAGTTCTTTGGAAAAAAAAACAAATTGCTGATGTAACTGTTTATCAGCTATTTTGTATTTAATTATACATAGAATACATGGATATAAGGAACAATATTCAAGCTCAAAAGTCAACTCAAACAATACCAAGCAGGAGCAGAGCAAACACGGACCTCCAAAACATCAGAGGCGGGATAAGGTGCCATGGAGGAGTGAGCATCCCCTGCTGACTGTCATACCCGCAATGTGCTAGCTCCTTGTCATGATCGGGAAATAACACAAAATTATGTCAACAATTCAGTGTGTAAATAATGGTATGACAATTGCAATCTAGTATGAAAAACTTAAGTCAGGATTTGTTTCAGTGATAAATTGTATTTGCTGATACGTTTATTTGTATCGACTATAGAACTGACATGAAATGATGCTTTTAAAGGAGACTGTTGATATTCTTGTTTCTTCAACTTGTTTTCAATAACTAACTCCGTCTTAGAAATTGTTCATACGTAGAGCTTGCTCCTGTATATCGAATCTGTTGAGAGATATATAAACCTCGTTTGCAGGTGATATTCAGGTATATGCACTGCATAAAAAGGGGAAGTTGGAGATTGAAAAGTGAAAGTTATCGCGTTTATCATAAAGTTTTAAAGTTTATTTTAATAAAATATCCAAACATGAAACAGATGTATCAGACTCTGTGGTATAACCATTATTAATTTATTTCTTTACAAAAATGTGCAGTGATGACTAAAATTTACCTTACAATTTAAAAAAAAATCCATTTCTTGATTAATTCAGTACCTTACCTTAGAATATGACCAAGTAAATTTCTTTGACAGCTGTATGTAACACTTATCATCAAACCTTTTCCAGCCTTTAGAACACGTCTTATTACCGTCTGAATAAATTTGTTGAATATTAGATAAAATGAAAGAATTTCAGTCATGTATCAATGAATTAAGGTTTAGGTATTATTCTTCTTAATCTTTTTTAACTTTGCTGACATGAATATATATAAACTTTTTTCAGTTTTTTCTTTGTTTTTATTAACTTCGAATGTACTTAATTCAAACTTGATTTAAGGCCAAACACAATGCACATATACACAAATTCTACACTGTACCTTTCTCACTGATAAAATTCCTAGGAATTCTCAATTTAAAATCATATAACCATAAGATATTCTTCAACAAAATATTGGTATTCATTACCACAGAATTTGACATGATATTAAATGACGAAACTCCCTGTACTTTAAAAAATAAACATTAAAAAAATTAACATACGAACTTCCTAGAAATTTGATATAGAGGAGGTGCACAGTATTACCAGGCCTCAAATCAAACTGAAGTATTTCTAATTTTTTTTTTTTTAATTACACAGTGAATAACAAATGAAAGATCAAAACTAGGTTGAGTATGTCCTTTATCAGTATAATAAATGCTAAACGTTACAAGCATTACCTTCGGGATCAATTATGGAACATCCTGAATTTTTACAAACGGTTTTGGTCTTTGTCACAAAATGTGTTTCCTTATGTAAAAAATAGTTATGTTTCAATTAAAACACAACTGAAACAAATTTAACAACAATAATTTACTGAAATGAAGGTGTTGTTTTATCAAAAGTACAAATAATGGAACATTACCGTTAGATCCGAGCCCACTGTCTTGGAGGATATCTGAAACTTTTTGTAAAGTTTCCAAAGTTTTGCATTCAGCTTATCACTAGGCCCCATTGAAAGAGACTTGGCGTCCATAAAAATAAAGGCCGATATATACATGTACAAACAAATCAAAGAAAAATGCATTTTGAATAGCTTTTCAAAAATAGGTTAGCATCACAGTATTCGATTCATGATTTATACTAAAATGGTCGTTTATATGAGGCTATACATCAGCATTAATTGCGATTTTGCATGTCCTTAGTAAATCAAAATGTAAACTGATCTGATACCTATATGAGTGTTCTTGATTTTGAATCAAATATATATTTTAAAAAAATGAAGAAATTAACAAACTCCAAGTGACTTTCGAAGTTTGATAGCTTTCTATTAAGTATGTTTGATTAAAAGAAACCAAACAAACAAAACATGAAACGATACATATTGAGATAACGCACAATATTCAAGATCAAAAGTCCATAAAACAAAACAAAATAGAAGAAGAGCAAACACGGACCTCCAAAACATCAAAGGTGGGATCAGGTGCCATGAAGGAGTGAGCATCCCCTGCCGACCGGTCACACCCGCCGTGTGCTCCTTGTCATGATCGGGAAATAACGGAAATATTCGTCGTCGATTCAGTGTATAAATAATGGACTAACAAATAGTATGAAAAACGTCAGTCAGCATTTGACTCAATGATAAGTTGTATTTGCTGACAAGGTCATTGTATCGACCATAGAACTTACAAAATGATAACTTTAAACGAGAAGGCTGATATTCTGGTTTCATGTAAAAGTCTTGATGAACATATTTAAAAGCATATCTTATAAGATTGTTTGTCATAGATTAAGAACTAAAGCTTTGAAAAATTTAAACTTTATATCTGACCAAGTATTAAAATAAACCTTTGAAAATTAAAATTCTATAAATGTGTAATGTGTATTTTCGAACTGTCTATACTAATAACCTTTCGTCTTTCAATTACAATATGTATGTTATTGATAATTTTTCATTCCTGATCCCACCTTGGAATCTTTCAGGGATCTTTTATGTTATGTCCTTTTCATAGATTTTTATTGTTTACAGATGTTTTTTTTAGATCGAAAACTCTTCTTTTCTTCTTGTTAAATGTATGCCTTCTTGCCTGTATGGCTTTAATGGAATCTTTAGTTATGAGATTAAAAAATCATTTCACTTGGGTAAATTGTGGTCCTTTTTTACTATTATTTTTCACTTTTTTCCAGGACCTGTACAGATTGTTGATTTTTCATCAAAACTTTATTCCCAATCATAAAAATAGAAACACAATCATTAGACATAAATATTATCACTGACATGTTTACATTTTTTTTATCATAAAATTTGTGAGATGGACTTTCCTTCTATTACTTTTCGCTTTCTTGGAGAATTAGTAAATAAAGCCATAACAACTTGTACGGTCAATATATACTTTTAACGTTTGTGACAAATATTTCTGTCCAAAGACAAAAAATTGTATTATCATTCAAATTGTTTAGATAGATCAAGGATTCATTGCAACATTTTTAAAGATTATTTACATACTTCTTCACAAACTATAAACAATTTATTTTCTTACTTTATTCACGAACTTTTTATATTTAAGATGAATTAATTGGTTATATATTGCTTTTTCGCATATGGCTTGACATGTGTATCCGCAATCTGCATCATTCCAATTAAATGTCCCACGGTAGTAGCGGACATGTACACAGTTCTCACTTCCACGACCATTAGGTTCCCCCTTGTCCCAAGCAGTGTACGTTAACAATTTTCCAGTAGAAGACCATCTCCACTCTCCTTCTTTAAGTGAATCTGTAGCATCGATCCAGGCATGGGAACCTGTAAATACATGCAATACTAGTTTTCACTTATCCTTCATCTGTTTTTTTTTTAAATATTTTTTATTATCCCAGTACATATATGTGTGTCCTTCGAGCCAAGGTTGGGGAGCCTTGGAATCTATAAGTTAATTTAACAAAGTAATGTATTACATATTATAAATGTAAAATCAGTTTATTTTTTGCATACATTCATCTTTTTATATTCCGCTTCTGTGTTATTAATAAATTGTTTAACTTTTTAAAAATATATTCTTTTGTCCCTAAAAAGGAATAATCAAATCTCCAAAAACCTTTACCCCGTTGAAACTCTTTAATTCTAAATTCAATACTAATATATTGAATGGTCAGTTCCATATCCTGGAATGATCTTAACATTTTTCAAAATTGAAATAATTTTTCAGAAATAAGGGGGAAAAAATCTAGCCTTCTTCGATAGGGTTTTACAGCTCGAATTGATAAGCCACCCGATATCTACTGGGGTGTCTACTTACTGGTCTATACCGACTTGAAAAACAATTATGTCTCAAATAGGCTACCTGTAGGATTCAATATAACAATTCGATAACCTAGAACATGTACCAATAAGTCTGTTAATATCAATTATATTGGAAGGAAAAACAATACTACAGTTACATACTACATATACTGATAATTATGTTAACTTCAATCATCTTTGTATCATTTAGAACTTAAATGAACATATAATTCTAAAAACAAACGAACTGTTTCTTTTGTAAATGATTACGTTTGAAATTTTGGGGAAAACTACCTCCAAAGTTTTTATAAATCCAGTTATGTTCTCTCTTGGATGTTACTCGTGCTAAATGTGCATTGAGTGCTTGGCATGCGCTCTAGAAATGAAAAAAGAGAAAAATTATTAAGTGAATTATTACTTTAGATTAAATTAAATAGTCAAAAATTATATGGACAATAACCAATGCAAGTTATCAAAACCTTTTCTCAGCTTGAGTTTATTTACTTTATTTTCAATAAACTTTTAACTTATCGAATATCTTTTCAAAATAAGAAAAAATAAGAAATTCAAAAATTTAAAGTTTACACACAAAGAAAGACAATGTAAAAATCGCAAGTACTTTATACATACTAAGTTCATTAAGAACAATTGAGATATTTATCAGCTGTTTAAACTTAAATTATTCATATTTCTTTTTTTAAATGCACTTGTAACTAATATGAAATCAGATGACAATGTTCTTTATTAATTTTCATTTCCATTTTTTAGATTTATAAAGTACCTTACCTTTGATGCAGACCAAGTAGATTTCTTAGACAGCTGTATATAACAGTTTTCATCAAACTTTTCCCAGCCTTTAGGACACGTTTTATTGCCTCCTGAATATTTATTTTTTGAAAAATAGTTCAATGAAAGAAATATAATCGCGTATAAATCAATTTAGGTGTAGAGAAATGTATTTTTTTTATTCTGAACTTATGCTGACAAATATATAAACGTTTTTCAACCTGTTATTTGTATTCATTTTATATGTATTCAGTTCAAGCTTGATTTAAACAGTATTCTAAAATTCATATCGATAGAAATCTAAACGTTACAATTATTACCTTCGGAATTAATCACGGAACACCCTGAATTTTTACAAACTGTGTTGGTCTTTGTCACAAAATGTGTTTCCTTATTGTAAAATAAAATATTAATTTTACAATTTAATTACAAATGCGGCAAATAAAACGACAAAAGATCCGGTTTTATCAAAAATGCTAATGATGAAACATTACCATCAGATCCGATCCCACGGCCTTGGAGGATATCTGAAAAATTTTATGAAGTTTCCATAATTTTGCGTTAAGTCTTTCATTACGTTTCATTGATAGAGACTTGGCGTCCACCAGAAAAATAAAGGCCGATATATACAAACAAATCAAAGAAAAATACATTTTCAATATATTTTTAATACGTTTTTTAATATTGCAGAATTCATTATTTATAGTAAAGATGATCGTTTATGTGAGGATGTACTTCATCATTAATCGCGATATTGCGTGTCCTCAGTAAAACATAATGTAAACTGAGCTTATTGTGACGAAAATAAAGATAATGAATATTAATCGATCTCAGTTACACAAAAGTATAAAGAGGGCATAAACACGTACCCTTGGAAATTACAGAGATGGGATCAGGTGCCCAGGAGGAGTAAGCACCCCTTCTTGACCTGTCAAACTCGCCGTGAGCCATTAATGTTGTAAGGTACACGAAATATACCGTAGACATACAAAGGCATAGCAATCGGTATGAAAAAGTCAGTCAAATTATGACCCAATGATAGATTAGATTGCTACTAAGTCATTATTACGACTATAGATTTAACGAAATGCCGACTTTAAACGAAAAAAGTTTCATACTTGGATATTTTACTTGAAAAAGACGCTAATGGTAATCTAACAACCAAGCTCATGATAAACGTGATGACTAACTTTTCTATCGTCAACTTCCCTTACTGATGCAGCAATATACCTTCCTCACCTGTATAGGGCGTTTATATATCTCAGTTGATTCGATACGCAAGAACATACTCTACGTATGAACAATTTCTAATACGAGGTAAATTATTGACAAACAAGTTGATGAAACAAGAATATCAGCAGTCTCGTATAAAAACATTATTAGTAAGTTCTTTGGTCGATACAATGACCTTGTCAGCAAATACAATTAATCATTGAGTCAAATGCTGACTGAATTTTTCATGCTAATTGTTAGTCCATTATTTATACACTGAATTGACGACGGATTCTTCCGTTATTTCACGATCATGACAAGGAGCACACGGCGGGTGTGACCGGTGTAACCGTGAAAACTGTCGCTAGTGCTCAGTGTCGCTCTTAATAGAATATATGGAAAAGAGCGACACTGAGCTCTGGCTTCTGCGCATGCCTAGGGATTTCGGTGGCTTCAAATCGAAGCGGTGTCCCACTGAATTTAATTCCATGGTAATAGTATCCAAAGTCGTAGATTTTTATGTTTTCTTTGTTTATTTTAATCCTAAAAGAAGGCAAGACAAATAAAATTCTAAAATTTTAGAACTTTTCATTTTTTTTTTTTACCTCGTTAGAATTATTAGATGATCTTTTAAATTTCTATATTATAGAGAATAAACGGCTACACATTTAATCGCGGTAAATTGAACAGATACTTGTATTTTAAAAAAAGAAGAAAAAACATGCCACAGTCCCTCAGTCATTTCTTAATAGGTGTGAACCACGCCGTGGGCGTTATCTCAGTCGGATAGGTGTCAAAAATTACCTGTATGTTAATAACTAACAAACACAGCTCCCCATGGTCGATTGATAATTTGATACCAATTAAAGGTGTGAACGGAGGTGAACTGAGAACTGAAGTCTAGTAACGAACCTTAAATATCTGTAATTTATCAAAAGATAAGTTGAAAAAATATATAAGTTCTATCAACCAGTTTTTATTTAGCAGATAAATAACGAGAAACACGCATAATTATGAAGAATAAGCATCAGTGAAAAGTGTCGCTCTTCAAAATGGCACTTTCATATTTTCTCAGACCTGATTTATATATCCTCTATAAAACAATTATACAGTAAAATTTCTCCCCGGTTTCAGTTGATATATATGATTTAGGTATAATTTAAGAATTCTAGAAGAGAAAACTGTAGAAAATAATTATTTTGAAATAGTGCTGAGTGTCGCTCTTCAAAATGACAGTTTCATATTTTCTCAGAACTGACTTATAAATCCTCTATAAAACAATTATACAGTAAAAAATTTCAAGCCGGTTTCAGTTGATATAGATGATTTAGGTATAATTCAAGAATTCTAGAAGGAAAAAAAATAGAAAATAATTATTTTGAGATAGTTATGAGCGTCAGTGCTGAGTGTCGCTCTTCAAAATGACAGTTTCATATTTTCTCAGACCTGACCTATATATCCTTTATAAAACAATTATACAGTAAAATTTCTCGCCGGTTTCAGTTGACATAGATAATTTAGGTATAATTTAAGAATTCTAGAAGAAAAAATTGTCGAAAATAATTATTTTGAAATAGTTATGAGCGTCAGTGCTGAGTGTCGCTCTTCAAAATGGCAGTTTCCTATTTTCTCACACCTGACTTACATATCGTCTGTAAAACAGGTATACAGTAAAATTTCAAGCTGGTCTTAGTTGATATAGATGATTTAGGTATAATTTAATAATTCTAGAAGAAGAAATCGTAGAAAATAATTATTTTGAATTAGTTATGAGCATCAGGGATAAGTGTCGCTCTTCAAAATGGCAGTTTCCTATTTTCTCACACCTGACTTATATATCGTCTGTAAAACAGGTATACAGTAAAATTTCAAGCCGGTTTCAGTTGATATAGATGATTTAGGTATCATTTAATAATTCTACAAGAAAAAATTGTCGAAAATAATTATTTTGAAATAGTTATGAGCATCAGTGCTGAGTGTCGCTCTTCAAAATGGCAGTTTCCTATTTTCTCACACCTGACTTATATATCGTCTGTAAAACAGGTATACAGTAAAATTTCAAGCCGGTTTCAGTTGATATAGATGATTTAGGTATTATTTAATAATTCTAGAGGAAAAAATTGTCGAAAATAATTATTTTGAAATAGTTATGAGCATCAGTGCTGAGTGTCGCTCTTCAAAATGGCAGTTTCGTATTTTCTCACACCTGACTTATATATCGTCTGTAAAACAGGTATACAGTAAAATTTCAAGCCGGTTTCAGTTGATATAGATGATTTAGGTATCATTTAATAATTCTAGAGGAAAAAATTGTCGAAAATAATTATTTTGAAATAGTTATGAGCATCAGTGCTGAGTGTCGCTCTTCAAAATGGTAGTTTCGTATTTTCTCACACCTGACTTATATATCGTCTGTAAAACAGGTATACAGTAAAATTTCAAGCCGGTTTCAGTTGATATAGATGATTTAGGTATAATTTAATAATTCTAGAGGAAAAAATTGTCGAAAATAATTAATTTGAAATAGTTATGAGCATCAGTGCTGAGTGTCGCTCTTCAAAATGGCAGTTTCCTATTTTCTCACACCTGACTTATATATCGTCTGTAAAACAGGTATACAGTAAAATTTCAAGCCGGTTTCAGTTGATATAGATGATTTAGGTATTATTTAATAATTCTAGAGGAAAAAATTGTCGAAAATAATTATTTTGAAATAGTTATGAGCATCAGTGCTGAGTGTCGCTCTTCAAAATGGCAGTTTCATATTTTCTCACACCTGACCTATATATATATCGTCTGTAAAACAGGTATACAGTAAAATTTCAAGCCGGTTTCAGTTGATAGAGAAGATTTAGGTATCATTTAATAATTCTAGAAGAAAAAATTGTCGAAAATAATTATTTTGAAATAGTTATGAGCATCAGTGCTGAGTGTCGCTCTTCAAAATGGCAGTTTCCTATTTTCTCACACCTGACTTATATATCGTCTGTAAAACAGGTATACAGTAAAATTTCAAGCCGGTTTAAGTTGATATAGATGATTTAGGTATCATTTAATAATTCTAGAAGAAAAAATTGTCGAAAATAATTATTTTGAAATAGTTATGAGCATCAGTGCTGAGTGTCGCTCTTCAAAATGGCAGTTTCGTATTTTCTCACACCTGACTTATATATCGTCTGTAAAACAGGTATACAGTAAAATTTCAAGCCGGTTTCAGTTGATATAGATGATTTAGGTATAATTTATTTTACATAGATTGAAGACTAAGGGTATTCCAGAAGAAGACATTGTTACAAGAAGAAATAAAGTAAATATATATATAATTTCAAATCTACTGATGAGCCCGCATGGATAAAATTGAGTTTTTCATTTAAATTGGGATTATATATAAATAATTTGGTTTTAAAAAATTAATTTTTTGCAAACACATATATTTATTATATCATTCTAGATACGAGGTAAACCAAATGCATTTACTAAAAAGTCTGATTCAGTCGAGTTATATTGGGAAATTTTAGAAGAGAAAATTGATTATTATCAAATAAGATATAAAAGCCTAAAGGGAAACGACAAATGGAAATTTTGCAATACGAGTGACACGACCAACCAAATCACCATAAGTGGGCTAATGGCAGATACCCCCTATGTATTCCAAGTCCGAAGTGTTGCCAACGACATAGAAGGGAAATACAGTGAACAAAGCGACCCCATTTTAACCACCAAATCCTTAGCAACTAAGATGCTAGATTTCTCTACCAAAATACCGAATACGGATCCTGTAAAGCACCAATTGTTATTGGAGGAAAATGGGGATGCCCGCAACACACATGCAAAGACAAGACAGCTCATTCTAGGTAGGTTCTCAATTATTATGGGTCATTGGAACAAAACTTTGCTGTTATTGAACTACATGTACATTGTTCTGATTACAAAATTACTTTGAATAGGAGAACCTTCAATTGGAATTGAATATGAAAAAACCATGATGCTTGTTGGTGCGACAGGTTCAGGAAAGAGCACGCTAGGGACGGTATCATCAATTATATGTTGGGTGTCAGTTTCGAAGACCCTTTTCGATTCACGCTGGTAAACCTAGAGCAAGACGAAAAGAAAACTGAAAATCAGGTAGATGTTTTTATTCATTATTGTCATTTTGAGAAATGATAATCAGAACTCGTAGTTTTTTAAATTTAAATTTCCTAAAAGTTTCAAGTTTTTCCAAAGAAGAATCTTCATATACTCCTCGTCATGATTGGGTTAAAAAATGTATTTTTATTACATTGATTACATGTACATTGTATTTTTAATAACGTTGATTACATTTTTTTACAATTAATTGAATATTATTGAATACAGTTACATTGTATTTACGGGTATATTAGTTAAAATAGAAAACACAAAAGACAAACGTGTACATACGGCGTTTAAAATCGTGCGTGCATCACAAT